AAAGGACACAAACGGCAGCTTGACCAAGAGGTAGACACAGCTGTGGTTGACCCATGTGCCCAAGCTATTTTTCTGGCTGTACACAGATTATTTTTTTAAGCTGGTTACTTAGAAATTAACTATGCCTGTCAAACGGGATTGACCCCTCTTCTTTCCCACTTCTTTAAAAAAAAAAGTTAAATTAGAGAATTAGTAAAACAAAGGCCCTGTACAACTCCAGGCCCAGTTATCAGAACAGAATTGTGGTTGCCAAGACACCAGGAAGAGATATGTAGAGAGAGCTTTAGAGGACAGCACCCAGCAACAAAGTATTATTATCTTGTCAACTGTTATTCATGTTGTATCTGTTCCATCAGACACTTCTGTGTTCTGTGACCTTGGACAAGACACTGCCAGAGAGCTGTTTTGAGGGCAAATGAAACAACACCTGTCAAAGTCTCCAGCCCTCTGCCAGGGCTTTGTAAGGACAAGATGAATAGTCTTTCGTGTGCTTATATTCTCCCTTCTCACGGTGGAGGTTTGCTTGGGCTTTCTGGTCATGTCCTCCCTTGGATCTGCCTCACTTAACATTGTCATCTCCCTAACCAATGGACACAGACAACAGGGGCGTGAGGGCATGAGTGGGGGGATGGGGGGTAATGTGGGGATAAGGATACATATGTAATAACTTAATCAATAAAGAAATTTTAAAAAATGTGTCATCTCTGACCTGAGCATATGAGTTTACTTCCACACTGTTTAGAAATTGGGAATGCTAGTAGATAGGAGCTCCAGTTTTGTACCCCCCAGAGCACAAAAGAAAGAAAAGCTTTCAAGTGCTGGCAGAACAGAATCACGTCCCAAGAGCTGGAAGGGACACTCAGGGCTCATCTAGACCATCCAGCCGACCAACACAACAGTCCAATCTTCCGTTTCTGTGGCAAATGCCTCTCTCTCTGCCAAATCCTTACTCTGGTGAGAAGGGCTCATCACCGCACAAGGTTACACCCCTTCCATCTCTTGACAAAAATAACTGCTAGTTATGTACTATTTTTTTTAGCTACGTAGGAAGAAATGTTTTGTTAGATAAAATACTTTTGTAAAACAAAATTTTCAAAGTACTTCAAGGACTCAAATACACATTCATGGATCCTCTGCTATGTGCTAGCAAATAGGAAGATGAGACAGTAATCCTTTCTGTCCTCAGAGAGCTCACTTTCAGTGGAGGAGAGGGATACACAGATTATCATAAAATTATGTTGGAAACACCTGACAGAGACATGCACAGGCTATGACAGAAGCACCAGTGAAATACACCCAACCCAGCCTGAGGGGAGACATTCCACAAAGACTTCCAGGTGAGGCCCACACTGAGACTCGAAGGAAGAGCCATATATTGCAAACTAGTTGGGCTTACACAAATAGATGTTACTAATTTGGATTAGTTTTGTACATTTTAAAAAGCACATGTAAAGGGCACTGACCTCTAAACTTTGTGTTAGCAGTTTGATCTAACATTATAAAGTTATATTTAAAAAAAGTAATAATTTGACGCTTTCATTATAGTCCATTGACTTTCAAACTATATTCCAGAATTTTGGGGAGAGGGGACTGGTATGTTTTTAGGCACCTCAGCCTGGGGGTGGTAGAAGCTAAGCAGGCAGTCCTCCGGGCCCTCACCAGAGGTGCTTCACTGTTCCTCCTGTTGTATTTGTGGGTGTTGTGTCTATTTTTTTCTAATCAGAAAAGGAGGTTCTGATATTAAAATATGTTTCAAACTACAAAGAGAGGCCAAGTCCTCCGTGAAGAAGGGTTCATTACATACTTCTCATCTAAGGCCAATTTACTCAGTTGGGTACTTTAAAGCAAAGCACCAAAAATAGTCCCACCCCTAGTTATCTTTGCTCATTCTGCAACCATGACCCTGATACCCTTCCCCTATCCCAGGCAGCAACCTCATAAAATAAAGAGGTAGACTTGAAAAAATTAATCATTATTCTGAAGAAAACACCCTCAAGAAGTATAGTTTATTAATGGTGGGATGGTGGCACCTTCATGTACAAAGACAGCAAATTATCATTCTTTAGAACAAATTGTTATAACGAATACTATCATAATAAAAATCACTTCATATGGAATAGGTTTATAATTCCTAATTCTAAATCAATGTTTTTCCCTGGCTGGTGTGGCTCAGTTGGTTGAGCATCATCCCATGCAGCAAAAGGTTGCTGGTTCCATTCCGGGTCAGGGCATATGCACAGGATTTGGGCTTGATCCCCACTTGGGAGTATACAGGAGGGAGGTCGCCTGATCAATGTTTCACTCTCACATCTATGTTCCTCTCTCTCTCCCTTCCCTTCCTCTTTCTCTAAAAATCTTTTTTTTTAAATTAATGTTTTTAAATAACATCTGATATAAAGTTATAGAACAGCTAATGTTTGGGTAGTTCCTTTGTGTTTATTATTTTGGGACTTTACCAGTCAGGTACATTTCAAAATACAAAAATGTTTTTCTTTTGTCCCAAATGCAAGATGAGAACCTGGTTTTCTGACATGATTGTCAGAAATATGTTGTTTTTGATATAACCACATATAGTTTCCATGGCTCTTTTAGTCTAAAGGAAGATTTTCCAAAATATTTATACAATGTCTATACAACACATCATTTTGAAAGTGGGTTGAGAGAAGTAGATCTAGTCTCAGGTTAAAAGGAAACATCAGATGAACAGCTACCCTGGGTCCTACTGAAAGCCAACCAGGAAGGTAGAATGAGTCCCAAACGAAAGGATTGAAATCTGAAAGACAGCTTGTTGTGTTGAGCAGCACTCAAAGGCCATAGCTCCTGAGACACTGATTTTTCCTAGAAAATCTAGTGCACGCTGGGTATGCCCACACGGGGAAAAGAGACCACGAAGCCACTGCTAAGGCTTGCTTACTGAAACCTCTCCCCACCCATTGCTCCTGGGGGCGCCTCATTCACCTGCTATGAGGGCAAAAAGCTAATTCTGCTTGTGGATCAACACTCAGGTGAGCCCCCAGTGGCACCGACTCTTCCGGGCAAGTGTCGAGGAGATTAATTTTTCCACTGCTAAGTTGTTTGTACTCATAATACGAAAGAATCTAATGAATGTTATAGAAACCCATTTATGGATTTTTTAAGCTGCTCATAAGGGTAACAAATAAGCTAGTCATCTTATTGGCAGGGTTTAGGCAGGAGCAGAGAGAAAAGATGTGAGCAAGAAAGTGGACACAGAAAGGAAATCCCCAAACTACTGTTATTTCCCAGACTTAGTTTTCATTGAAAACTACTCCCTTAATGGAAAACTCACTGCTCCTTGACACAGTGAGTTTGGCTTATTTAATAAGTCCTTTTAACATGACTTACAGTAGGCTCTCGGTCTAATTATTAAGAAGTTACTATTATTTTTGTTGGGGATGATAATGCATGATGGTTATGTGAGAGAAAAAAAGTCCGTGTCAGTGTGAGATACATACTGAAGTGACATGATGCCTTAGATTTTTTTTTAAAGAGAATCTGGCAAAAATAACAATAAGTGGGGGGAAATAAGAAGATAAGACTTGCCGAAACCGGTTTGGCTCAGTGGATAGAGCGTCAGCCTGCGGACTGAGGGGTCCCGGGTTCGATTCCGGTCAAGGGCATGTACCTTGGTTGCGGGCACATCCCCAGTGGGGGGCGTGCAGGAGGCGCCTGATCGATGTTTCTCTCTCATCGATGTTTCTAACTCTCTATCCCTCTCCCTTCCTCTCTGTAAAAAATCAATAAAATATATTAGAAAAAAAAACCTCCTCCTATGGAAAAAAGAAGAAGTTAAACACCGATCGAATTTTTTAAATAGCTCTAAAAGCCACTCCAGGACTATACCCTTCTAGCTGTTCCCACACAAAAAGAAGGCAGCCTACCACTAAATGTCTTTGATTCATCAGTTGGAAGATCCACCAATCCCTTATGAATAGTTTATCAGAGGAAAATAATGCCCAACATTAAAATGATTGTAAACTATATCAAATTTCAGAATTGTTGAAACGTGCTTCGAAAACATCGTAAACTACCATTTTTCCTTTGTCAATTTTCTTTTAAAAAATATATTTTATTGATTTTTTTACAGAGAGGAAGGGAGAGAGACAGAGAGTTAGAAACATCGATGAGAGAGAAACATCGATCAGCTGCCTCCTGCACACCCCCCACCGGAGATGTGCCCACAACCAAGGTACATGCCCTTGACCGGAATCGAACCTGGGACCCTTGAGTCCGCAGGCCGCCGCTCTATCCACTGAGCCAAACCTGTCAGGGCTCCTTTGTCAATTTTCAATAGGAATTGTTGCTAAGAGGCCAACTTTGAAAAGAAAGATCTACCAGGTCTCCATTATTTATTTAGTCATCATATTTTATTTTATCACTTAATTTAAGCCATTAAATTGGAGTTCGTGTTAACTTAGCGGCTGAAGGTTTGCCTCCCTAAGACGTAAGCGAGCAAGTGCAGGCGAAGCAGGCTTAAGAATGCAGTAAGTCTGAGCCTCTTACCGGCCTGTACATTGCTACCCTTGTTTTAATATTGCCTGTTAATGAAAGTAATCAAACTGTAAGATTATAAATGCCCAAAGCACACGTGTCTGTGGGCCTTGAACCGAGTCAGAGTCACTGCTAGTTTCCGGAGAATCAGCTACCCCTTCAGTAACACCTGGGGGAAGGGGAACCCCGCTGGGCAGAGGAGCCGCCCCTCCGCTGAGCTTGGTGCTTTTCAGAGAGGAAAGGATCTAGAACTACAAGTTATGGATCTAGAACGAGTGAAGGTGTAACCACAGGGTCTCTTTTCATCGTGCCGCCAGGGGCAACTGGACTCTCCGCGGGATCGCCCGGCGCTCCCGCACGCCCCCTTGCGGTAGGGTTAGCCTGCGGGGCTGGACACGTGCATCTGGCCGGGAGGAAACCACGGAGTCTGAAGACGCCAGGTGCGCCCAGACCTGCGCGCGCGGACAGATGTGCACAGCTGCGTTACTTACTGTCTTCCGGCAGGTTGTTCTCCCGCTCTTCTCTCTCCATCTGCTGGCACCAGCCTTCCATGCGGTCTCGCTCCGCCTGCAGAAGCTTCAGAAACCAGTGGCCATCCCGGTGGCACACTGACCTTTGAACGGCCTCCATGGGGTCTTCGGTGATCGAGTCAATCCAGGGGTCCGGCGGAGGCAGGATCGAAGGGTCAAAATCCGCGTCGAAGTCGTCGTCGGCCGCACAGGCGTGGTAGTGGTTTCCTGAGCCCTGAATGCTGACGGTGGAGGTGCTGGCGTCCCGGGAGAACTGCCTGGCCGCGGGGCCCGGGCACGAATTGTCCTCTATAGACTCCAGAGAGTTTTCCAGGTTGTCGTGGAAGTCCAGGTCAGCCTGCACTGCCGTCGTCACACTGTTGGATCGGGTGAACCTGCGGAAGCTTGGAGGAATGGGGAAAGGAGATTTAGTTCAAGGATACTTCTTGAAGCAACACCACTTTCTACATTTCTTCATGGGTATGACCATCAGGGGCCTCATCTCCTCAGTCTGCAGAGGCAGGCCCTGATACAAGCATATCAGTAGCCGTAGCTCTAACATAAAGAATGCGAATTTCTCTCCCGGCCAGCGTGGCTCAGTGGTTGAGCGCGGAGCTATGATCCAGGAGGTCACAGTTTGATCCCCGGTGGGGCACATGCCCAGGTTGGGCCTCAGACCCTGGTGCAGGAGGCAGCCTATCAATGATTCTCTCTCATCATTGATGTTTCTCTCTCTCCCTTCCTCTCTGAAATCAATAAAAAAATATTTAAACAAAGAATACAAATTTCTCATGTTCATTCAATATTAAAGCACAGCTAGAAAAATTTTAGAAGTGGAGCAATCAAAGCCAGTATAATGTCCAATAGCCAGTTTCCTCCCCATATCTGGACAGCCTGAATCCTGAAATTCAGATTGGTGAAGGGTAAGGGAGCAATTCAATTATGTCTTATTATGCATAACTTGCATAGAAGTGGGAGGGAGGGGAACCAACCCAAACTGGGCCAAGGCTATCATGAATCTGGCAAAAATCACATTTTCCCAGCGGCAGCTCTTACCAAGTAAGACTTCCTGAAAGCAAACTAAAGAATTGGTATGTTCTCCTTAAAAGTAAGACTCCTTTCCCTGCTAAGGATTCACCTGTCTCTTGATTGCATAGGTCATTGTTATTATTTGGTACAAAGCTTTTGGGGTAAAAATCAGCTCTCAGTTCTAGAGTTTTCCTGTACCGTCCTTCCCTGTGCCTTTAACTCCCCTTCTCACAGTCCTTCTACCAAGGTGATAGAAGACAACTTGTTAAGAGATTCAATCTGAGCACTTTATATGGACAACCAAAGGACTCTGTACATCCCTGGTTGATTCCTGCAGTGAAGGTGAAGACGTGGAAGATGGGAGGGTTGGGGAAGAACTGAGGAGCAGTGAATTCTTTCTCAGACATGGGGAAAGGAAGGCGTGGGTGTGAAGCAATTTAAATGCACACACACACAAGCTTAACGGCTCCTGGCGCAGGCAGGAAACAATGGTGGAGAATATAAGTCCACTGAAGGTAGCATTGCGTGTCTGTTACCCCATCTGTATTTCTTTGTGTTTTTTTTCTTAAGGTAATTTCTTGATCTAATATTTTATATATTTTAATTGTGAAAAAATACATATCACAAAATTTACCATTTTAATAAATTTTGAGTGTACAGCTCAGTGGCATAAGTACATTATTCACATGGCTGTGCACCCCTCACCATTACCCATCTCCAGAACTTTTTCATCCTTGATAATTGAAACTCTTTACCCCTTAAATAACTACCACTCATTCTACCTACCCCTTCCCCCGGCTCTGGCAACCACCATTTCCTTTCTGTGCCTTTGAGTTTGACTACTTTTAGGTCTTCCATATAAGTGGAAATCATAAAAGTAATTGTCCTTTTGTGACTGCCTTATTTCATTTAGTGTAATGCCTTCAAGGTGTTAACCAGGTTGTGGCAGGTCCAAAATTTTCCTCTCCTTTAACGGGGGAAAAAATCCCCCCCCCCTTTTTTCAGGGGGTTTTCTCCCAAAACCCCCCATGTGTTCCCTGGAAACGGGGGTATATTATTAAACCCTGGGTAAACCTTTTCCCCCTAACCCATCAATCCCTGAGAAAAGTTTTTATTTTTATAGCCCCCGTTAGGAGGGTAAAACCATTCCTTTAATAAAAAAGGGTTAATTGGAAAATAAACTGAGCGGGGGAACACCAAACACCCCAGCCGTTAAATTGTCCCCGGCCCCGGGGGGGGGGGGGGGGTGCATGAGGAACATGGCAGGCATTGGCCATGGTGAGATGGTGGAGCTGGTGAGTGGGGGCACCAGATCAAGACGGGGCACCGGTCGCTGTTATCAGGCATATAACAATGGCCCCAATTGCTCAGCGCCATTAGCAGGTGTGAGCGGGGCCAGTGTTGTCAGCGCATGGGAGCAGCAGCGACCGGAGCAGGGCTGCTGGCAGACAGGGGACTGGGGGCCATGGTGGGAGGGGTTGGGAAGGGGCATGGAGGATGGGCTGAGACCCGCCCCTGTGCCCACCACAGCCTCATGGCCCACAATTCCTTTCAAGGTGCACAAATTCGTACACTGGGCCCCTAGTAACTAATAATACAATAGAACAATTATAACAATATACTATAATAAAAGTTATGTGGGTCTCTCTCTCAAAATTTCTCATTGTACCGAACTCACCTTTTCACTTAATGGAAGCACCATACAGTTTCTCTTTGGCATAGCTGAATGGCCAGGATCACTACTCTTGTGCTTTGGGGCCAATAAGTATAAAAAGGGTTACTTGAACACAAACACTGCGATATGGGACAGTCAATCTGATAACCTAGTCTGCTGCTGACTCACGGGCAGGGCAGGGAGTATACACAGAGCTAATGCCCTGGACAAAGGGATGATTCACTTCCCAGGAGAAACAGAGAGGGATGGAGCAAGATTTCATCACGCTATTCAGAATGGTGCACCATTTAAAACTTATGAATTGTTTATTTCTGGAATTTTCCACGTAATATTTTCAGACATGATTGACTGCCGGTAACTGAAACCTCAGAAAGCAAAAGTGCAAATAAGAGGGGGCTACTGTATGTATATACCATATTTTGTTTATATATTCATCTCTTGATGGACTCTTCTGCTATGAACATGGGTGTACAAATATCTCTTCGAGAGCCTGCTTTCAACTCTTTTGGGTATATACCCAGAAATACAATTGCTGAATAATATGGTAATTCTGTTTTTAATTTTTGAGCAACTGTCATGCTGTTCTCTATAGCAGGTACACCATTTTATATTCCCATCAACAGTGCACAAGGGGTCCAATTTCTCCACATCCTTGCCAACACTTATTTATGTGTGTTTTTTTTAATAGTAGCCATCCTAATGGTGGTAAATTTTCTTGACCAGTTCATGATTATACCATTTTAAGAGTGCTTATTTGCCAGTTGATTTTCAGTTACTGTTTCATGTTCCATAGTGCACTAAACAATACAACATTTAATAAACCAGATATGCTTCTTAACTTTCCTGGAACACTCTGTGAAAGCCAATTAAGACTAATACTCTGATCCCTCAAAAATAAAGAATGACCAGAATAAAACAGGTAATTATTTGCAACTCTATACCCCTTAGAAAAACTAGAAGTCCCAAAAAGGAGAGAGTCCAATCATCTGAATAAATCATTTCCCCCCCCCAAGACAATAAATATCTAGGAAAAAAGTGGCTGCACTAATCTGTGTTAGTTATTAGCACAGTCAAAATGATCAAATATGTTGTGATTCATTTTATGAAGATGGATCAGACGAAACTGGCCCATTTCACTGTTTGCTGTTTTCAAGAAATTACTTCCATTATACCTGGTCATGTTATAAGTTTTCAAACTCTCAAATGGGCCATTAAAAAAATCACATAGTGCGAGAGTCTGAAGGCAATGTTGTAGATCTCTTGTACTAGCAAGGAAACGGAGAAGAGCCACTTGTTTCTGAACTTCCTGTCCAGCTGCATATGTGTGAATTGGATGGCTCTCCTTGCAACAGTTGACAGTGTGGCTGTTCTACTAACACAAAATCCCAGCTATGAAAAAACACTAGGCTGCACTCTCCAAGATCCTGTACTGCCAGAGGCATTACATTTCCAGGCTTAAGGACGGACCAGTGCCTTATTGTTTTCAACTGGAGCAAATTTGCCAGAGACAGAATCTGTTTCACATACAAAACAGAATGACCTACTTTCCTGGGCCTGTTTCTATCGACACAAAACCGTACCATCGGCATTCCTGACAGAGGCTCCTGGCTCTGAATCTGGTAAAGTATCCACCTCCTTAAGAAAAATCACTTGGCAGCAGATTAGTAGGAGTTTGCAGTTTAGTCACCCAGAAAGAAATAACAGTTAAGTGAAATGAAAATGGTTTGGGATTAAAAGCGGTGCCTTTGAACTCAGGCAGCCCTGTCCCGGCTGCACTGTGTCTATCAATTAAGTTCCTCAAGCAAGTGCTTTCTTCCACCCAGAGCTTTCAAAGAATGTTCTGCTCTACAGAACGTTTTCAGTCTCTGATGGGCAAAGTTCCTTCTCAGGGAAGGGTGCCATCAAGTTGTTGCTGTTTTAAAATTTTGATAAAAAGAGAGTAGCAGTCACTGGATTAATTTCTGTAGTTTTGAAAAGAATAGATTAGTTGCTGGTTGCTGCTAAAAATCCAAAAGCCGCACCCAGTGTCTTGCTAGTTTTGAACCCACAATCTCCAGTGTTGAAGCTTCTTGGGTCCTTCATGCCCTGAAGGCACAATGTGTAATAATTACAGCTTCTGAAACAGACCGGCCAATATTCCGGTCTAAGGAGCAAAAAACCATGAAACTACAGACTGGCTCAACCAGTATGGGACACAATACCCTGTCTGTTCTGAATAGCAAGAGAAAAGTCACTTGTTAGTATTCACCTCTGCTGTTGCTTTGTGCTCCTTCTATGAAACCAGTTTATATTTCAATTAGAGGATTTTCTGCCCCCCTCCCGCAACTTTTCTGCACAGCAGGCTACAAATCAACACGCAGATGGCGAGCTGCAGGCCCATTCTCATCTCCTCTGTCCGATGGGGCTGTCTAAGCAAAGTAAATCATGAACAGAAACTAAGCACAGTTGTTATCTTTAGAACATACGTGCTTGGGACCTGCAAGGATTCCATTATGCGAGACATAAGCCATGAAATTATCTTAAGGAGACGAACTCAGTCATCCTGTTGCACAATCCTCTGGCTTCTGGTGATCTTTATCTCTCTCATTCACATAGTGGTTGCTTCTCAGGGCTACATCTACTTTCAAAAGGAGAAACACGAGTCCTATGCTGCTCTTTCTTTAGAGGGGACTTCAGACATTTGTCACCAAGCCTTTGGTC